CTATAAAAAACAGATAGTCGAACCGGAATCGAACCGTAATCGAATCGAAATTAACCGCATTTTTTAACTGAACCGTAACTGTAACCGGAACGAAAAATTGTTCAATTGATAAACCGGATCCGGTTAATTTCGGTTCAATTTTTATCATTATATTAATTCATAATCGCTTTCCTTCATATATGCTCTTTGATGGTAGTGTGCTGGTGCTAATGTTTTGAAAAAGAAAGGCAAGCACAAGTCTTGCGTAACAAACATTAGAACAAACTCAAATAAAAGTGATTAAAAAGGGTATTACTGTAAACAAGACTGAAGAAACATTACAAAGTGGATGTGTTGAACTAGTCACTAATTCATTTTTATTTCTTTTGTATTTTCAATAGTTTTAAAACAATAGTAAGGGAATTTTGTAAATAAAAAGAAATAAAAATTTGATATTTGACTCGATTTTGAATTGCTTTTTTTTCGATTTTAAATTTTAATTTCCGATCCAAAACCGAATCTGGAACTATATACATTTATATGGAACGTAACCCGAACGAAATTAATTTCGGTTCATTAGAGAGTCGAAAACGATTTTATAACTTGTAATTCAAGGATCAATATAATTTATATCAATCATAAATATATGATTAAAAATTTATTGAAGAAAATCTTAACTAAAACTTTATTTTTTTTTCTAATTTGAATTTTGTTGTTAAATAATTTGTTTAATTATAAATACATTCAAGTTAAACCTCAAATGTAATCAAAGCTGACAGAATTGTCAAAGTGAGACAAAAGAATGAAGGAATTCAGAAGACATTGGTGATTTGTAAACTATCGAATAATTTAATCTGATAAAATTGTAATGAAAATTGTCAAAGTGAGATAATAAAGAAAAGAAGGAATTCTGAAGACGTTGGTGATTTGATAATTATTATCAAAAGATTGTTTAATGAATGCCTTTACTCTAAATACATTCAACTTAAACCTCAAATTAAGGTTAATCAAAACTGACAGGATAATTGTCAAAAGTGAGACAAAAAAATGGAAGACGAATAATTGAATCTTATATACGTTTAACATTGTAACGAAAATCAGAACTGAAAATTATTTTGTTCTAATTTGACAGTGGTTTTTATAATTATTGTATAACATCAGCATACATTCAACTTAAACCTCAAATTAAACCAAATCAAAACTGACACGATAATTGGCAAAAGTGAGACAAAAAAAGGAGAATGAATACAATGTAATGAAGAAAATCATAACTGAAAATTATTTTGTTCTAAATGAACAGTGATTTTCATAATTATTGTTTAATAATTATTTAATGAAATATCTTTACTCTAAATGCATTCAATTCAAACCTCAATTTAAGCATAATCAAAACTGATAGAATAATTGTCAAAGTGAGATAAAAAAAAAGAAGGAATTCAGAAGACGTTGGTGACTTGATAATTATTCTCAAAATAATTGTTTAATGAATGCCTTTACTCTAAATACATTCAACTTAAACCTCGAATTAAGATTAATCAAAACTGACAGGATAATTGTTAAAAGTGAGACAAAAAAAAAGGAGAATAAATTCAGAAGACGTTTGTTATGATGTTTTATATATGTTTAACAATGTAATGAATAAAATCATAACTGAAAATTATTTTGTTCTAATTGGACAATTATTTTCATAATTATTGTTTAATAATTATTAATGGAATGTCTTTACTCCAAATGCATTCAATTCAAACCTCAATTTAAACTTAATCAAAACTGACAGAATAATTGTCAAAGTGAGACAAAAAAAAAGGAATTCAGAACACGTTGGTTACTTGATAATTATTCTCAAAATAATTGTTTAATGAATGCCTATACTCTAAATACATTCAACTTAAACCTTAAAACTGACATGATAATTGTCAAAATGAGACTAATAAAAAAAGAAGAAGGAATTCAGAAGACGTTGGTGATCTGTAAACTATCGAATAATTGAATCTACCGACATAAACGTTCCACTCTGTGTAATTTCGTGACCGAATCGAAGATTCGATTGATCAGGTGTCAACACAGCCAAATTATCACATCGTAAATACAATCAACACGCACGTCCCACATAATTCAATTCCGTCATAGATTCTTTTTTCCATTTATTTTCGGTGCAAGCGAAGTCTGATCCAGCCGGATCGATTCATGACGAATGGAGAGTAGAGACAGATAGATACAGCATTACCGAGGTCTATGACCCCTTTCGTTCTCGCAACAAATCATGCATATTATTATTCGTTTTCTTTCCATTACCTTTTTTTTATTTATATATATATATATCATTGCATTCAATGGATCTAATTGTAATTGCTGTGACCTTGTCGAATCATTAAATTTAATACATCTGCGAAATAATAATAACAACAACAACAAAATCAGCAGTCATCAACATTATATAATAAGTGCCTTTGTACATCTAACGACTGTTTGTCTGTTAAACGAATTAAAGACATTTATTATAATCTTCTTCGACTATTATTCGATTTAACATATGCTTGCAAATCTCATTAATCGCAAATAGGAAAGGTGTGAATAGTTGATAAAAAAATAATTAATATAATTTGAAACAACAACTGAGAAATAAATGCTTACAGCGATTTTGATTTTAATTATTAATAATTAGTTTTGCGTATACAGTTACAAATATTACGCGTTGTAAACTTAAATTTAAAAGAAAACTGTAAACATGATTAATATATACGTAAAGGTCGAAGGTTGAAATTTTAATTAACATTTGCTGAAACGTGTTATAAAAAAAATTTAATTACTAAAGTAATTCATTTGAGAACAAGTATTAATATATACTTTTACAGTGTAATTATATAAATTATAATGATGACACCAAAGTATTGTGTTTCTGTATCAAGTGTTCAGATTTAAAGGCGCGAAAGAGTAATTTATGTAAAAAAAAATAAGCTTCGCTTTTGAAAACGGTCGGATAAATCCTTTAATGCCTCCCACATTTTCGCTCGTCCTTTGCGCGGATTAAATTGAGCAATGGAAAAACAAACGTATCTGCAAGGACCAAAATAACTTTTGAGATTTTATTCATTATTCATTAATTATGTTTATTTTAATTAAATGGAAAAAAAAAGTAATTTAATGTACTTTCTTTCTGTTTGGGTGGATTCTTTTAATATAATTGAAATTTCTTATGTTTATTTCAGTTTATTATATTCTAATTATAGACGTTAAATAATAATTCAGGTTTTATTTGTGTAAAATTGACAATTTACAATTTAGTGATTGCATCACAATAATTCAAGACACATCTTAGATCAACTTAAATTTTGAATAATAGTATGACATTTAAGAAAAATAATGAAAATAATTCTTAATATCTTGACATATCATATTGATACAAGAATATTTCGATATGAATCTTAGATATATTAGAATCCTCAATGGTATAAATGGTATTTGCTTCAATTCACGGTCAAAGTAATGATGCAATAGAATATATCATCATGTATCTTTGATATTTTTGTATCTTGGATATGAGTCACACATCAAATATGAAATAGCGGGAAATTCAAAATGTATACATTGTACCTTGTAAGGGTTTCTTGAAGTGAATGAACTAAGAAGTATCGGTTGAGCCAGTGACCCAAAGGTACAAGCCATTCCGTCTCGTAATTGCTCTTATTTAACATTCAGCACGTCTCCGAAATAAGTGGGTAAGTGATATTCGGTACCAGTGGGACACGAGGAAAAAAAGAACAATGAGCTTTTCGTGCATGCAGACTAGTTGCGAAACGTGGAAATGGTTCGGGCTAATTGCCCATTCCTCATCATCGCCGCAGACAATCACACATGTATGCGGCATATGCATAGGCTCCTTTGTTCAATAGGCCAATTAAAATTTAATTACACACGCTGTTACATCTTCTTCGAAGGTGCAAAAGATGACGAAGAAGAAAGAACCGCAGTTGCCAAATTGTCCAGTTATATAACGTGAGATGCAGAAGAATCTCCTGAAAAGGAAGAAATCGCGTGAAAGAAATATGCGTGCATTTATTCTGCATCTCTCCGACACGCCATGTTTTAATGATATTTCAAGAAAATCTGGATCCGCGAATTGGGCAAGTCTCGACGAAAGTTCTCCTGCTCGCTCCTCGTTACCTCACATAATCATCTTTTTCATTTACGCAATTCGAAATTTCTTTGAAGTTTCTTGGGAAATCAGAATCATTTGCGTAGATTGCTCTCTTATTGCTTATTTTCTTGGTGTTTTTTCTTCCTCTCGAATTGCAATCACTTCTTGCAAATTGTCGTCTCGGAATGCAATTTAAATACTCGCTCTAATTGATGTGGCGCCATCTCCCCAATACTCACAATTATAACTTTCCAACTGAAATTTTGCATTTTATCACAATATTATATTTGTGAAATTTACATAGTTAAAAGGATAATAGTAGTTTGGATTGTTATTATTAATAAATAAGAGAGTTCACGAAAGCTAATTAAAATTTGACCCAACTAAATAAGACGCACGAATTATAACAGTAAGGAATACAAAGGATAATCTCCTTCCAGTTATGCATTTTTTTGTTGTTGTTGTTGTTGTTTTAAACTTGTGAGAGAACTCCAAGTAGGAAATTGTAGCAAAGACAATATTACGAAATTACATATGAGATGATGATTATGAGACCAGTTCCATTCCCACAATTGGCCTCCTCTTTCCTGCTGCTCTTCGACTAATAAACGCTTCGTCTCGCTTATGAAATATGAATAGCATTCAGGATCTTGCGAAGTAAACCATCCATATAGGCGATGATGATCAATCGGTTTTGTGTAAAATCGCCGGCGCGCACAATTGTATAATTTCTAGTTTATTTATTTAGCACTCGGAACATAACAGTTCTTCCAAATTCCGTTAAACATAAATACTCATACGAACATCGTCCAATAAAAAAAACGCGCGCGCGTGTTCGCATATATGGAAACATGAGATGTTAATTTTATTCTTTCGTTTGCAGACAAAAGCAATTATGAGCTGGTTCATAATCCTGCTGATCGCAGGATGTTGGGCCTACCCGGCGCAGGATCCGTTGGAAGTTGATGGACCGGCTTCCAGGAAAATCTTAGGCTCAAGGTATTTCTTATTATCATTAATTGTTGAAAGAAAATCTTGTAATTGTTTTTGTTTTGGTGCAGCGTTGTTACTTCGGTTTCTGTGATAATGGATGGAGCCTTGACGCATTTTTCCGATGCTGTTGGTAAACCAGTATCGAGGCCAGCTTCCAGCGCTCAAGTGGCCAGTCCCATCAACCTATTGAATCCTGATAGGTACGAGTTCTACACGTTCGATGATAGCGGTGATCTGGTGAAGCGTCTGATGACTCTTGAAGAGATTCACGGCATCATAGCTAACGGCGATGGAGAAGGCTTCACTTATAGCACAAATTACAACTCTCCCGAGAAGAATGTCAACGATGTTGTTAGCAACGTACAAAACGTTCTTAAGAGCGAAATGGAAGTTCACAAGAATTTAACAAACGTGGCTTTGGATACTCCTGATGTTTCTTCCAATTGGAGTTCGATTTTATCCACTATCTTCGGTGGTCCCAACGAGCAGAACAATCCTCAAAACTCCATGACCGCGGAAACTATCTTACTCGAAACCAGTTCTCCTCCAGCTCCGATTGTTAAGAAACCAACTCCGTTTAAAACCAGCAAAGTCCCACAAACAACAACCAGCAAAATCACAGAAGTAACAACGAAAATGACAGAATCAACTACAAAGAAAGATGAAGAAACTACAATGAAACAGAACATTGAAGAAAGCACTTCCGCCAATCAAGAGGATATGAGCACCACAGCCGATCAAGAGGATTTAACACCGTACCCCATCAAATTGGAGACTTTACCAACAAAGCAATTCGAGGTTGAAGAAGTGCTTAAAACCACATCTACAGAAAGGATAGAAGTACCTGTCATCACCGTGTCGATTATTTCCAACGCGAATCCTCCTCCAGCTGAGAGCCAGAAGGAATCCACGGAAGGTTCGCCTGTCATTAGTATCAGACCAACAACGAGAAGGCCTTCCACGCAATCGCTCCTAAATACGACGCCGGTGTTTAAAAATAATTTGCAGAAAGTGTCGACCATTAAAAAACCATCATCCGTCAAACCATCAACGCTGAAGCCGACGATGATGTCTTCGACTGTAAGAAGACCAATTAGCTCGACGACTCGCACAACCTTAGCACCGAAAATCGCCGCGACAAGAGCCACAACAATTAAACCAATTAAATTGCAATCAAGCGCTTCCGAGCAAATTACTATTTCCACAACTGAATTACCTAAAACTGAAAAAACTACTAAAAGAACAACAACTACGACTACTACAACTACACAAGCTCCAACAACCACTACTACTACAACTACAACAGTAGCTCCAACCACTACCACAACAACAACTACAACCACAGAAGCTCCAACAACAATTAAGCAAACAACAATGAGACCAACGACTGCTGTCCCGATTAAACGCAGTACTGCTGCCACAACAACCATGAAGCCAACAACTGCTGTCCCAATGAAACGTGTTACTGTTCCTTCAACAACTATGAAGCAAACGCCGACGACGATCAAAGAAAGCACAATGGCTTCAACGACGTTCAAACAAACTGAGTCTTCTCTATCAACTAAAGAGAATATAGTTGCCTCTACAATAATGAAACAAGCAACAACAATGAAGCAAACTGAATCGTCTCCAACTAAAGAAGCTGTTGTATCTATGACAATGATTAAAGAAAAATTGGCAATTCCTACTACCGAGATTCCAACAACAGTGAATAAGAATACAGAGAAAAACACGGAATTCGAGAGCCATCCTACGCACTTTATCCAAATCTTTGAACTTCCACCAACCACAATTAGGAACGACGTAGTTAAGGAACAACAAATTCAAAAGAACGAAGCTGTGGAATCTCTCAAACAAACTGATTTGCTCAGCAGTATTTACCTGATCGATCACAAGACTAACACTAAAATACCTATTACTACTAAGGAGCAATTGACAACGTTGTTGGATAGACTTCCATCGGAAAGCACTACTGAAATTCAAAGGAATAAATTGAGCACCAATGCCATGCAATTAATTAAGCTGAGCACGACGGAGAAAGATGTCGGAACGACTAAAGAGAACATGGAAATTACTTCAACCGAAGAATACGAACCTACCACATATGGTAAACCAACGGAGATTGATAAGATCTTGGACCAGCTGCTCTTAACATCCACTAACATCTACGATATTAATACGGAATTCGCAAGCATGTCCAGCGAAGAGACCACGGAGAATTTGATCGCCGATAGCACAAATTACGCGAATCAAAACGACCAGACCAGCACAATGGAGATTCCCACGACAAACATAATCGCCGCCAGCATAGAGCAATTATTCCAACAAGCCGTCGGTATTCTTCCTAACAACAGTGAAATCGTCACTTACGAGACGACGACAGACGCGGGAACATCGACTACAATGGAAAACTTGTCGACGACAACCGAAGACATTCCAACGTCCACAATTATCGAAGACGATAATTCAATTAGGGAAGCGTTAAAGGATGCCGCTGAATCTTCGATCTCTGAAGTCGTTAACTTAGAAAGACAAGAGTTTACAACAACCGAAGAAATTCCAACTACCACTGAGATTATGAACGATATTTCGACTACCCCTGAGATCAAAGAAACCACAGAACTCGACTTTACTACCACTGAATTTAGCAATGTAGCATTAAATTCAACAGAAGCGGAATTGGAAGAGGAATTCTTGAATACAGAAGCTTCTAGCCAAGTCGAATTGACAACTGAACGTTTGGAAATGACGACTGAAAATAATTTAGAAACGAGCACAATGTCTCAACCTTTAACTACTCAGGCTTTGGCACAGGTTATTAAGCAAGTTACGGACAGCAATCCGAAAAGACGCACAACGATCTTGGCTATAATAACCGAACACTCGCAACCTCCAATCTTGAAGATTAACAAGAAAGAAGATGATGTTGTGAGCTCGAGCAGCTGGAGTTTGGTTCCAACTTTGAATCCTCATAACAAGGAAAGCGTGGCGCAATCCGAGAACAAACCGCAGATTCACGTGCAGCCTGCTAAGCCTGTGAATTTGGTGCCGCAATTGGGATTAGGTTTGGAAGCGAGCACCAAGAGTCAGGATGTTGACATCAATCAATTCGTTGCGTTGTGCAATGAATTAGCGTTCGGTTTCTGGAATTCCGTGACGAATGGCATTAGTGCTGCGAGAAGCGCATTTATTTCGCCATTTGCTGCAACGTCTCTTCTGGCCATGGTTTTCTTGGGAGCACGCGGAGCCACTTCTGGAGAGATGAACGAAATCTTGAAGTTAGATGATATGGTCACGTTCAATCCACATTTGATTTTCAAGAATGTAACTGAATCTATTGAATCAAGCGATAAAACCGGAGTGGCTACTTCGATTATTCTAAGGGAGTTGTACAGCGATAAAAGTAAAGGAAATTTGTTGAATTTCTACAAGGAGAGGGCGAGGCAATTCTACGATGGACACGTGGAGGAAGTCAGTTTTAAGGAAGTTGGAGATATCATCAGAAAACGGACAAATATGATGGTTAAGAGACAAACTCAAGGAAAGATCGGGGAGTACATGAAAGATGCATCGATTAAAGTTAAAGCTCCATTGGCTGGAGTCAGTGTGAGCGTGTTTCAGGTAAGGATTTTTTAAATTGAGAAATAATAGATTATTAAATTTTCATTAATTGCAGACGGATTGCGCTCAAGCTTCAACCGACGGAAGAGATGGTGAATTACACTTTGTCGTTCTTCCATCGATTAGGCAAAGGAGACTTGTTCCAGTTCCAGCAGCTGTTTGGAGGAAAGGATTCCTGGCAGGTTACGAGCCCAGCTTAGATGCAACAGCCGTTTCTATAGGTTCCAACGATCAAATTGTCAGCACGATCTTCGTTATTCCGGGACAACAAGGAATTGCCGCTCCAGGCGATGGTTTGGCACGTTTGGAAAGACACCTGATGACTTCAGCGTTCAAGGACGGCTCTTGGTCGAGATTGCTGCGCTCCTTGATACCTAGACCTGGTTTGGAAGTGCAGATTCCGCGTTTCTCGCACCGTTCTATCATCAACGCCACGGTGGCTCTGCAAAATATGGGCATGAAGGATCTCTTCGACTCAAGCAAAGCAGATTTGCGCGGTTTGAACGGAGTCGCCAACGATCTGTATTTATCCGACATCCTACAAGTTAACCAGTTCGCCACCTGTGGAGAAGGAGGAATCGGCGAGTTCCATCACTCCGAGATTTACCCAGCGACGGCGAATCGAACGTACAGAAGGTCAAGGAAGTTCAAGGACGTCCTGCAGCCTGAAGAGGCTCTCTACGACTCCGAATTCTTGGAGGAACCGAGAGATTATCAAAGGGCTTTCCATGATCCACTCCACGATCCCAGCCTGTTCTCACTCCCGCTGCCTTTAAGGCCCAGACAGGCTCGTCTCCCTGAAGCACCGCGACTAAGATTCGACCGACCCTTCCTCTACTTTGTAAGGCACAATCCCACAGGATTAATACTTCACATGGGCAGATTTAATCCGAGATTATTGCCCTGAACAGTGCAAACGAACGAACCACCTTTCCTTTCCCCCTTTTGTATATATCTGAATTAGGTTTAAACTGAAGAAAAAGGCTTAAAGTATTAATTTTTAATGATATTGTTTTCTTTTTCTCTCTCTGTACGTATTTTATTTATTATTACACATTTTAATTTGCGCAAGGATAATTGATTTGTGTGAGGCCAAAACGAATAAAGGTGACAAAATATATTATGAGGACGATGTGAAGTGAAGGAAAAACGCATGTAATATTACATCCCATAACATCAGAACCCATGTTATTTGATGCAATATCCATCCATTTTGTATTTGACTTAAGGTTAATTCTATTTATGTGTTGAGGTAGATATATGTGTGCAATTTATATTTTACTTTTATATATAAATATATAATAAATAATTGAAAAATATTTAAGACTTTTTTGTATAAAATTCCTTTTTAACATCAAATTTTGGATTATATGTTCTTCAGTTATACATAAAAACATTAACACTGATGAAAAAGTGGATAAATCAAGTAATTTTTGTAATCATTTTACAAGTCTATACTGATTAGACAATATCTTCAACAATAATATAATTGTAAATTTTACAGTAAATTAGTATTCTTCTTTTCTTAGTATTATCTAGATTTTAATTAGTATTATTTATTACCTAATCAAGTATAATATAAATCTCAGATAATATTGAAATTTGTATGTGTCTCCATCTTACAATTAAATAGTGAAGTTTATAGTTCCATGCTTTTAACGCGCTGTTTCAGATCTAACATTACTAATAGTTACTTAACAGCAAATTTAAAGGTATCATCAAAGTAACTATTTGGATTAATTAATAATGAATATATAGCGGAATTTAATGGTATAATGTTACAATAATTATCTAGAAACAATACTTAATTAGATTTATTTATAAATGGAAAAGTTATTTGAGATAGTTCAAAATTGTAATCATATTTGAATTAACACGAACGACTTTAGTAATAATATAAAGGACAACGATGTAAAGTTCTTCTCTTCACTAAAAATACACCCACTGCGAAAATTTTATTTTAAATAAAAAAAGGTTATAATCGTTTCATTCTTTTTTTTTCTTGGATACAGCGAAAAATAATATTAATAGTTCCTATGCTAACTCTACTTTTTCTGCTTATCGTCCTTATCCTCCTTCATCAAATCCTGCAAGGTGTCGACAGCTTGACGGATGGTCTCGGATGAAGGATCGACGCCGGGCAAGTTCTCGAGAACGCTCTGAAGAAACGCGGGATCGTTCATCACCTCGGAAAAATCTTCAGCGCCTTCCACATCCATAGCGTCATCCTTCTTCTTATCAGCTGGAGTATCCTGGGCCTCCTGCATTGACATCTGCATTGCGAAAGCTATCTGCTCCTCCTCGGTCATATTAGCGAAATCAACGTTAGGTGCAACACGGGCTGTCGGAGTCTCGCCCTGTTCCATTGACATAGCCAAAGCCCTCTCAAGCAATGCTTCCTCGCTGGGCTCTTCCTTGATGATAGCGGGCACACTGGGATCGCTGGCGGAAGCCTGCTTGGCCCTTCTATCCTCATCCTCTTGCCTCTGCCGTTGTTCCTCCATGGAAACACGGAGAGCCAACGCCAGTTCCGGATCTTCATTTGGATCCACGCCAAATTCGAATCCGGAACCTCCAAGACCAGCTCCTCCAGAACCATCTTCGCCTTGTATAATCGGAGACGAAATTAAAGCGTCAGAAAGATGAGGACCAGGAGGAACAGTAACTAGATGGCTTCCACTACCATCCTAAAAAAACAAGACAATCAATATCATATAATCATAAAATACACCAAAACATACCTTTCCATTTAAAGTGTTGATAAAAGAAGTTAAAACATCAGTATTGATAGTATCTTCTCCAAAACTAACTAAATCCACGTTCACTTTCTCTTTCTTGAGTTTCTTCGCCAACTTGACCAATTCCTTCTCCTCCGCGGCTACCGGGCTTCCAACGAAAGCGACAATCCTCATCTTGTGGTTCTTTCCTTGTCTATGTTTCAGCGCAAGCTAAAATCAACACATTTATTACATACATACTCAATCACCCAATATACCAATGATCACTTACATGAGCGATTCTAATACCAGTGTGTAAATTAATGTCACCATCGGGTGTCACCTGGTGCAACTTCGACAAAATCCTTCCAACGTCGCTAGTCAATGTAGCCAGCACTTCAACATTGGCCAACGTTAAAAGCCCGACGTTGTTTTCTGGATTCGAGCGTGTCTTCGAATGGCATACCAAATTCACGGCATCCTGCTGAGCCTGAAGCCGAGTTGGCAAAAAGTCGCCATTCCTCATGTAATCACTATTATCAACACTGAAATTAAATAAAAATCATATAATAAATATATTGATAACCAAAATGTATCTGTAATCCTATCACAAATATTCTATACAATTTAAAAACACCAATTCTTAGTAGATCAAATAGTAGTGATCTTAGAATTGAATCTTAATATTCTACATACACACAAAGTATACAAGCAAACACATATGGTTTAACATATTCTATACTATCTAAATCTAGTAGCAAATACAATTAGTACACAGTCATCACTACCAAACAGTATGCATACATCGAACAATCCCATTGTTTACCAATCAAATCACAGACATTAATGTACTTCATAAAACATCTTACTCCAATAAACATACAAACATGCAAAACATTACAGCTAAGCATTCAAACATGTACAAACATTATTATTAAGAAGTTTTTTCACTTTGATTATGCTATGTCATCTATGTCGTGAGGTTAAGTTCAACAAGATCTAGTATAAAGAGCGAACTTACCAAATCATTGTACTTTCCAGGACCATTTTGATGTGGAGATTAAATAACAGTAGCCACAGGAAACTAAAGACAAATGTTTCTTTTAATTTATAGCACAATGAATGTTGTTTTTAAGCTTTCGTTATTTTATTGATATTCAGTACTGATGACATCCAGTTTCACCAACATACTAAAAAATAATGAATGATTTGCATACAATCTTTCATAATTTAATTAACAATTAATAAAATACATTAAAACATTGATATATTTCGATTACTGCTAATGTTTTACATATAGATTATGTTTATGGATAATTATCCAAAATTTTAAGTATTTTACTCCAACAACGTTGGTATTCCAATCGATGTAATTTTGAAATAAAACAAAAAGTTTATGATTCTTTAAATTTAACAAATGTAACTTTAATTATAATTAAACATAATTTAATACCAACAAAACTACAGTTTATATCAAGATTAACAGTTGCAAATAAAAATTACAACAATATTTAATTATTGATTAAATTGTTTTTTAATTATATCTATAGTATTAATTACTAAATTAAAATAGTGATGTATTTTATTTAATTGTACTTTTCGAATTATTAACATGAATCATTTATTAAATTATATGTATGTTGAGTTGCCTATATTGATTTTTCTAGCAATTTGCATTTCTCACTAAATACATGTATTCCCCGACATACGAAATCCCAGACTTACGAACAAAATTCTAAAAGCACTAACTTGTTATAAGGAGATATATAGTGATGAAAAAAATAACTGTTCAAACAAAAATTGACAATTTCTTTAATAAAATATAATATTTTTGGAATTTGTTTTGTTGCATTTGTTTCTTTTGTCGTTTTTTATTAAATAATTGTGATATATACATTGAAAAGTATTTGTAAGTAAGTATTTTGTTTATTTTAACACATTTTTTCAAATGTATGCAGTCAGTAATATGGAATTTAACATATATAAAAGTAAAAACCATGATAAGATAAGTATATTATTAAAAGTCTCCCGACTTACGAACAAATTCGACTTACGAACAACCCTTTAGAACGGAACTAATTTGTAAGTCAAGGGACAATGGAAAATATATTTCAATTTATATATAAATACATAATTTAAAATACTTTATTAATTACATAACAAAATATACTGCAAATCACTTATATCTATAAATGTATGTAGAAGGTTAACACTTTCAATTAATTCATTTCTTATTGAACTATTATTATCAACAAATACAGATTTTACTTTATTTAAAGCTTGCAATAAAAAATGACAACTACACCAGTATCTTCCAAGCAAAACAAATAATTGCAAATTTTAAAGTATTTATTGGAAATTATTTATTTAACTTATTTATTTGTTTTAAACATAATTGAATTAAATGGAACATTGCAAGCACGTATTTTGTTATGTGATCTAAATACCTTAAATTACACGTGCAAACCAGCTAAGCAATTTATTTTGCAGAATGGACAGAAAACTGTAAACAAAACAAACGGTTTATTAATGAAATGATTAAAATACTATTGTCTGTGATTTTCATACTTTTTGGACATAAAAAGAACCCCAAAGAATGGGTACGTGTAGAAAATCAACCAGAATTGATCTGTCATTAATTTTTTGACCCCCCCCCCCATAGTTTGAGAAACACTGGTCTTAGTAATACCATATGTAATTGTTAGAAGATCCAAAGACAACAAATACTATCAGTTGCAAGTAGAATGTAAATGAATGATATGTTATTCTAATTCCTTTTTATTATATAAATAATATATTTACTAATTTTTATTGGACAAAATTTAGACCATTATAAATTTAAAATTTAAATACAAATAATTTATTTTATTAATAAAATTTGTTATTAAATTTCTTTTTTAACATATAAATACACAAAGGTTTTGTTTATTACGAAACACTCGTAGAAAGTGTAATTTTAGTGGAGACTGAACTACCGTAGAAAAGCTTAGTTCCATTAAGTGGAAGTTTCGTAAAAATCTGTGGCGCGCCTATATAATAAGTTCCGTTGCTATTGCCCCACGGCGACAGCAAATTATTAAACAGAGATTAACAAATTTTATTACACCGTGTTGGGAAAACGACAAGAACAAAACTATTTATAAGTACGATATTTATGTTCGAATAAATCAATCTTTTACAATTAACGCTGTATCAAATCCGTACTAACACATACACTTTTATTAACATTACTCTTCATTATTCGTATTTTATTTTTTTTAATCAATGAAAAGTCAAAATCATGATTTTTGTGGAATTATTTACAAATAAATTAATTTATTACTTTCTAAATTTTATAATTTTAATTAAACGTTTATTTCTAATATTTGAAACTAATGTTAATTGTATTTATTTTAATTATTAGTAAATGTAATTTAGAAACAACGTGAAATGGAACAACAAACAGACGAGAAACGAAAGACCATTAGTGAGATGATGATGAAAAATAGTTTAGAGATGAGTTTCACGTTTAGGGACGTGCATAAGTGTTTCTTAGAAAAAAAAAGGGCGGTTTCGAGTCTAGACAATGTTTATTAAATGAGGAGAGTTGTATACAAAGTTTTCATCAATTTTATCCTTATTTTTTGTAATCCACATTCTAAACAATGTCTGATTTAGTATAGTTGTCAAATTATTATATAACATAAAGAAAATGTGTTTCTCCCAAATACGAAGATATTTTATAATTAAATTATTTATAATAAATAAATGTTACATGAAAAGTTTTATAACTTTATGGAAAATGTAAGGATTTTTTTTATACGTATGCACAACACTTATTACTAATAAACATGGTTTTAGACACTTTTATATTCATATTGTATACACTACGTGTTTAAATTGTTATCTCTGAAATATGCGTTGAAAAACACGAAAAATCTGACGAGGAATTGAAAATATTCAACAAAAAATGGGTTTGTTGATAAAAGCAATTTAAAATTCCATTCCTACTAACAATACTGTTATTTTATCATCACTGATATACGTAAAGTTTATAAATGTTCCAATATTTCACTATTTTTGATAAATATGTTAAAGAAAACTGTTAAAATATTACTTGAAAAAATATTGAACATTGTTCTTAGTAGCGTTTCTCAACATTTTTGTTTGTACTATGACGCAATTATTTATAACATTTTTGACACTTGACACAAGGTGACAGCTGTCATTTCGTAACCCATTTGACGCAACCGAATAGGTTGAGAAGCGCTGATCTATAGATTTTTTTGTCTTGTAGCTTTTCGTGATATAATTTGAATTTTGGAAACTGTTAAAATATTACTTGAAAAAATATTTAACAATGTTCTTAGATCTATATCAGCGTTTCTCAACAAAATTGTTTATACAGCGACGCAATTATTTATAACATTTTTTTGACATTTGACACAAGGTGACAGCTGTCATTTTGTAACCCATTTGACGCAACAGAATAGGTTGAGAAGCGCTGATCTATAGATTTTTTGTCTTGTAGCTTTTCGTGATATAATTTGAAATTTGGAAACTGTTAAAATATTACTTGAAAAAATATTTAACAATGTTCTTAGATCTATATCAGCGTTTTTGAACATTTTTGTCTGTACTGCGACGCAATTATTTGTAACATTTTTTTGACTCTTGACACAAGGTGACAGCTGTCATTTCGTAATCCATTTGATGCAACCGAATAGGTTGAGAAGCATTGATATATAGATTTTTTTCTTGTAGCTTTTCGTGATGTAATTTGAAATTTGGAAACTGTTAAAATATTACTTGAAAAAATATTTAACAATGTTCTTAGATCTATATCAGCGTTTTTTAACATTTTTGTTTGTACTGCGACGCAATTATTTATTACATTTTTTGACACTTGACACAAGGCGACAGTTGTCATTTCGTAACCCATTTGATGTAACCGAATAGTTTGATAAACGCTGAACAGTAGTTTTTATTTCCTGTAGCTTTTCGTGATGTAACTTGATATTTGAAAACTGTTAAAATATTACTTGAAAATATATTTAACATTGTTCTTAGATCTTAGATAGTTTCTCAAATGCGACGCAATTATTTGTAACATTTTATTGACACTTGATACAAGGTGACATCTGTCATTTCGTAACCCATTTGACGCAACCCAATAGGTTGAGGAACGCTGATCTATAGATTTTATTTCTTGTAGCTCTTCGTGATTTAACTTGAAAGTTGAAAACTGTTAAAATATTACTTGAAAATAATATTTAACATTGTTCTTAGATCGTTTCTCAAATTTGACGCAATTATTTGTAACATTTTTTGACACTTGACACAAGGTGACAGCTGTCAACTAGTAACCCATTTGACGTAACCGAATAGATTGCTGATCTATAGATTTTTTTCTTGTAGCTTTACGTGATGTAATTTGAAATTATTTGTAACATTTTATTGAAGGTGACAGCTGTCATTTCGTAACCGAATAGGTTGAGAAACGCTGAACTATAGATTATATATATTGTAGCTTGTTCGTGGCGTAACTTGACATTTGAAAACTGTTAAAATATTACTTGCAAAAATATTTTACGTTGTTCTTACATCGTTTCTCAACTGCGATGCAATTATTTGTAACATTTTTTTGACACTTGACACAAGGTGACAGCTGTCATTTCGTAACCCATTTGAAGCAACAGAATAGGTTGAGAAACGCTGATCTATAGATTTATTTTCTTGTAGCTTTTAGTGATTTGAAATTTGCGTGAAAGAATATTAGATTTATTTTATATTTTATAATTAATTTAACATTTGTTAATAAATTGTATTGTTTCATTTGAACAAATTACATTATTTAGCAAATAATATTTCTAATACAATTATTCTATTTGTATTATATAATAATACATAAATAATCCATTAACTAAATTGAAACAGATTTGTGTTAAAGTTATTGTAAAGAAGATATACCATTTCTGCAAGAATCTAGAACACTGTACAAATGTATTCAAATCCTATTGATCAGATATGGTTATTACTTAAAGCACCCGTATGTTTCATGCAAAAAGGTACGCAGTTGTATGCTAACAACTATTGATTCGTTATATTTTTAGTGTACTTTATTTAAACAACTCTACTGGGTGACTCATCAAAACCATTCCTCCACCAAAGAGTTATTACAAATTTTTTTCACTCCA